CATTTTGAATTTTCACCCGACCCACACTCTACCATACATTATGAACGCAGCCTTTTTATTGTTCCTACATATATAGAAAGTCTAGAGTTTCTATACTTACAGCATCGGCAAAGGTTCCATTTGGACAAGGTTTGCATTTACTGGAGCCCTGCTCACTATAGGTACCTTTAGGGCAGAGACTACAGTCGGTGTTGCCACTAATGCTGTAAGAACCAGCTCCACAAGGAGTACAGTCCAAGGCAGAGCCTTTATCAATACCAACGATACTTATGTTGTACAATTTTCCCTCGAAAGCTGCCGAAGTTGATCTGAGCTCGTCCCCTTGGTTGAATGTCCAACTATCAAAAACAAAAATGCAAATTGAAAAAAGGTGATTGCGTAGTAAAACGTGAACAAGGAGTAGGACAGAACTATCGACCGACCAGCTGAACCACAGACCGACCATTTTACTGTGGGACATGGAAAAAGTTGATTGCGTAAATTTAAGTTACAAGGGAATGAGTTTGTGAACAGGCCAGGCTATCGACCGGCAGACCGACCGAGCGGATCACCGACCGAGCGGCCATTTGACCAATGGATATTGAAAAAAAAATCAATGGCGTAGATTTAAGTCTATCGATCAAACCAACCACGCGACTGATAGATGGATTGGCCAATCGTTAGTCGCCTTTTAAGTCCAAAAAGGACTATGAATGGGGTTTTGCACCATCACGTGCCCACGCCCATAAAAACGATTGTATTGTTCTTGCTATTAATGGTTTTCAACCATTCCCAAGAGAATTAAATAACAAAAGAAACGGCGGCCATGTTGGAGGATATAACAAAAGAATTCATTGACAATTCTTTTGTTAAGTTCCTCCAACATGGCCGACGTGAAAACCACCAATCTAACATGGCTGCCATCAAGTGGTGTAAAACCTCTATAAAAAGGTATAAAAATGAAATGCACACCTGAATCGATAACTTCCTTTCTTGAGAGGATAGCTATGCTTCACTAGCTTTCCATCTCTGTTCCTTTCGTGCCTATAGACGTATCTACCCTTTGGATTAGTACAGTTCATCTGATCTATCAACGTCCCATTGGACGCCCAGATTCGAAACACCAAGTTACACTGGCCTATGTCTGCCAGGTGATTCCCAGAAACCCAGATGTTTGGTTGGGAGATGTTACAAACTACAGCACAAGTGAAGTTGATGCGAGCAATGTTCGAGACGACATTGTATACATATGTGTTTATGTTGGACAAGACATCACCTACGACTCGACTGGTTCGTACGTGGTCTCCACTTGGTATCCATCCATTCTAGAACATCGGTAGAGAAAATGATGGTCAGTTTTAAAGCTAAATGCGGTGGAGATTTAAGGAGCCGTTTCTGGGATTTCCAGTGGGGAAAGTCATTCCCTGCTTAAGTCTCAATTTAGTCAAACATTTTAGTCTTTGACTGTTGTATTTCAGCGTGCGAAAATCACAACAGAGACACATGTAAGCTCCAATTTAGGCGAAAGCCCAAAGATCGAATTAGAATTTAGAAGTTGATTTTGATGGAGGGAGGAAAACCGGAGAAAAACTGTCAAAGCACAAAAGAGACCTAACACACTCTACTCACATGACACGAACCCGTGAATCGAACTGGGTTGCATTGGTGCGAGGTGACGCATTAACAGTACATGCCAACCATGCTTCCCATAAACCCCCCTCCCTCCCTTATTACTGTTGGGGTCAAGGAATGACACAGGTAGCCCATAACCCCATCATGTAATTATGGACTTTAAGATTTGCAAAATCTGCGACGGCGATGTCTACCGGAAGTGTAAACAACTTCGCTTTAGGGTTTCGCGCGTTCAAAGTCTGTCTTCCCTCTGGATGAGTTGACTTTACTGACAGTTGTTTTGAATGAAATCTCCAATGAACAGAACCCCCCCCCCCCCAAAAAAAAATTATTTACACTTCCGATTGACGTCGCTGTCGTAGATTTTGCAAATCTTAAAGTCCCTATTACCTTCACACTACAGTCACCAGTACATTGTGCAGTGATCCCATCTGGTAAAGTATCATTGACCCATATGTAGTAGTGTTTACCCCTCAAGGTAACATATCCACTAGGACAATCCTTGCACTTCATGCCGTCTGCAGAGTGTTGGTTTTCTTCACACGGTTTACACACTGCTTTGCGTTTATCGTTGATTAACTGATAACCAGGTTGACATCGGCATGGGACATCCCGAGTCTTCTCTAGATGTGCTGTTGGTAGGCAGAGCTTATGGGTGCTTCCGCTGACTGTTCAGTAAAAATAAGAACATCAGTCATTCAAGTGACTCTTTAATAGAGCGTGTATAAGCTAATAATAATAATAATAATAATAATAATAATAATAATAATAATAAGTATATGTAATAGGACTCCATGCCGTCCAATTGAGAAATAATTGGACGAGGAAAATTCCGAGGACTGACAAAATTGGATGAGGCGGTAGGCYGAGTCCAATTTGGCAGTCAGAGGAATTTTTCGAGTCTAATTATTTCTTGATTGGGGAGCATGAAATCCCATTACCTATTAATTATATAGCTGCCTAATTAATCCCATATCAACAAGACCTCTCCAATTAAGAAAATAATTGGACAGTTACCTGTATGGGATTAATGAGAATATTAATAATAATGATGATAATAATATTAATAATAATGATAATGTTAATAATAATGATAATATTAATAAGCAAATATGACGAGACTAATAGTACTTCGCTCAATGATAATTTCCTTTCTTTAATAATGCTGATGATAATAATTAATAATGATACTTAGTATAGGAAATTGCACGATCTCGAGTACAATTTGGGAAATAATAGACACTCGTAAAGTTCTTGTAATTGCACAAGCCTTTAGGGGAGTGCAATTAAAGAACTTTCAAAACATTACGAGTGTCTATTAATTCCAAATTGTACGAGAAGATCGTGCGATTTTTTGTTTATAGTTCATTCAACAAAATTTCAGCAAAAAATGTGAAGCGATGCCGTTCATCTTTGTCTATTTGGCGGCAGATTTTCAGTCCATCGCGCAACTGAAATGCATAAAAAAGATTAGTTCTTACGGCTTTAAAATTTTATTTATATGTTTTTAAGTACAAAATGATAGAAAATAATGGCTTTGACATTGTTTTGGCCGTGTTGCCATAACGACTTAATTCGGTACTCCTACGGAGTACAATTAACGCTATATTTGTACTCCTCTCAACCAATAAGAGTCGAGTAATTTTGTTGAGTGTACTATAAAAATGATAATGATGATAATGGTAATAATAGAGATTAGCATATACCAACTTGTGTACTTCCTAAGAACGCGCGTGCTCATTGGTTAATTCTGAATGTTGGAATGTTGGGTCGGCAACAAAATTCACTCCGCCTTCGGCGAATAATTTCTAAATGTTATCATGATTATTATTATTAACTAGTTAACAAATAGACAGTTTTTTATGTGTCTGTCTTCTTATTGACGATAAATTGCGTCATCACATTGTGACAGGCATAGCCAATAAGAGGACAGGCCCTTAAAAAAACTGATGTCTATTTGTTTTTTACGATAATAAAAACGATAAAACTTCTCATTTTTAGCGATCAAAACAACCAACGAAAAGAGCGCGCCCTCGTTCACATCAGCTTTATCTGTTTGCCCTCTTATTCATGATAAAAAATAAACAATCWGCAAATGAGAAATTTGTATGTCATTGTAAAATACCCCCGTGTTGCTATAGAACTCTTACAATCGTCAGAGTAAAAATGCATTCCTTTACTTTAATAAAGTCTTAAAACCCCCTCAACACTTCGGACCCCCTGGCTGATAAATAACGTTAATCTACATGTATACTTTAACTTACCCATAACACTTGAGTAAATGGGAGTCATTTTCCTGTAAAACTTGTCTTTTTTCAATACACAGGTTTTCAGTTTATCTGGAGCCATGATCAAATCATCTTTGGTGCAGTTTATGAGAGGAATGCAATAAGCTGACCCCAACATAGAATACTGATCTGATGGACAGGACTGGCAAGACGTTTTTCCTGAAAAGATAGTATTGGCCATTAGGAATTTGAGGGTTTAAAGAAAGTCAGGTTTGGAAGATTAAGAAATGAAGTTTTTTGTGTATTACTGCAAGGAAAGTGGGAAAAAGTAAAAGTACACGTACTGTAATGTCTAAGTCACTATTGATGTTGTTTTGATATTGGATTGGCAGGAACTCTTCACAATTTACTTTCTATCAAGCCCTGAAACAACCTCTGGGCTGATCTAAGTCAGGACACGGCTAACTCAAAGATAGAACCCTGAAACAACCTCTGGGCTGATCTAAGT